CACACACACACACACACACACACACACACACACACACACACACGCACACACACACACACACACACACCACCCACACACACACACACCACCAACACACACACACACACACACACACCACCAACACACACACACACACACACCACCAACACACACACACACACGCACGCACACACACACACACACAGACCACACACCCACACACACACAGACACAACACACAAAGACACACACACACACAGACACACACACACACCACCCACACACAGGACACCACACACAGACACACACACACACACAGACACACACACACACACAGACACACACACACACAGACACAAACACAGACACACACACACACAGACACACACAGACACACACACACAGACACACACACACAGAGACACACACACACAGACACACACACACACACACAGACACACACACACACACATACACAGACACACACACACACACACACAGACACACACACACACACAGACACACACACAGAGACACACAAACAGACACACACACACACAAACACACACACACACAGACACACACACACACACACACACACACAGAGACACACACACACACACAAACACACACACACAGACACACACACAGACACATACACACACACACACACACTCACACACACACAAACACACAGACACACACACACACACAGACACACAGACACACACACACACACACACAGAACCCCATGAGGCCCCGGTAGAAGCAGACCCGAGCCCCTACTTGGAGGTTCATGGGTAGTTATAAGTTGGGCTATAAGCTCCCTAACAAGAGTTATAAGCATAGTTAATTAATTCAATATTTATAACCCTACTTATAACTACCCATGAACCTCCAAGTAGTCCAAAGCCCCGAGCCCCCTAAACCCTAAACCCCTAAAGGGAACTCCAGAAAGTTGGAATATGGTTTCAGGGTAGGATACCTTATAATTTACCTTAAAGGGGTTACGATACTGATATTCCAACTTTCTGGCTTTTACTTTAAACCCTAAACCCGATTTCAGCTGACGGCTTCGCACCTGGGCTCTGTCGGCTTCGGCGGGCCACCCTGCACCGGGGGGAGTGGCCAGGCTCTTCTAGGCCCTTACGTCTTTTTTCAGCAGATAAAACCTAGAGGCTCCACATATAGTACCATTATGGAATTAAGTCCCCAAAGCCATGGTATGGAAGGTCTTTTGGGATCTAATTCCATAATGGCACTATATGTGGAGCCTCTGGGAAATTTTGAACCCTTGAACCTCTCCAAGAATCTCTTCACCTCTTTAAACTTGAAAACCCTGCGAACCCTGTGCTCGAACCCCTGTAGCATCCCTAAACTACTGACGCCTGTGTTCAACCCCTTCAACTTCCCTCAAACACTCCGAACCCGGTGTTGGACCCTTAAACATCCCGTGACCCAGAGGGTCCATATATACTACCATTATGGAATTCGGTCCCAAAAAACCATCCCCATCATGGCTTTGGGGGCCTAATTCCATAATGGTAGTATATATGGACCCTCTAGGTTAAGAATCGCCACCGACCTCAGCCTCGCAGCGCGGGCAGCGGCAAACAAACTCCTGCCACAACTTTTGGATGCCGTGAAGCCGAAAGGGCCCTAGAAGGACTCCATAAGGCCTCATAGGGACCATCATAGGGTTTTATGACGGCTCTATAGGGCTCTATGGGACTATCATAGGGGTCTTATGACGGCTCTATAAGGTTTTTCTGCAATTTTTCAAGAAAAGTCAAGAGAAGACAGCAGTCTTTTGCTCGAGAGCCACGTGCTGACATGTGGCGAGGGTAAGGGCCTATAAAACCTGAAACCCTGAACCCCAACCGAAACTCGTGGCACAACTGAGACCTAGACTGGGTTGGCCCTTATAGCCTCTGAGAAAAGCCCGTATATAGGATCCCCAACAAGAGAAAGTTCATAAAACCCGAAGGCCTACCGAGTAGATTGCGGGCCATGCTTTCTTACATGCCGTCCACGCTGCCCAATGCTCCAGGAGCTGTCGTCGCCGTTCCTGCAAAGATACATTAGTATAGTACGATATATGATATGACAACCCTATGGTATAAGATACTTTAAGATCATAAGGATGTTGGTCTAAACTAAAGGAGCCATGCCCAGGCATTAGGACAGAGCTTGCGCCCGCCCTTGCGCCGTCTTGCGCGCGCAGGGGTTTCACTCATGTCAACATAACCCCTTACAAAGCGTAAAATTAGCATGCATTTCGACCTAGTTAAACCCTAAACCCTAAATCCTAGTTACAAGTAGTACGTTACATATCTTGCCCGCCCGCCCTTGCGCGAGCTTGCGCGAGCTTGCGCGCCATGCAAAACCCTAAAGCCGGCCCGATTCTTCCTACAAGGGGAAAGGGGGCTTTGAACGGCAGTCATAAGATACAGTTGATGATATAAATCCTGCAGTACCTTAATGGCCTTAAACTATGGGAATTATGGTATATTCTTTACTATGGGTAATGCAGGACTTATATCATCAACCGTAATGTATACACTCAAAGGAGGTCTCACTGAAGCTTCAGACTCAAGGCACAGGGTACGGCTACGGATAAGTTCGCAAATATGTCAAGTTCTTCCTTTCATCTTCGGGCCATTTGGAGGGATGGACTTCTTGAACTGTTTGCCAACACCTTGCATGGTAACTGCTCTTTGAAGCATGGTACCATCCCTTAGGTCCATGTACTCATGTAGTATATACATTGGCCATAATGTAGTCCCTGTTTGAGTACTTTGGGGGCCCAAGTATATGCTATATAAGTACCTGGACCCTAAGGGATCTCAATCGGATCTTGGAGGTATGTTTTTACAGGGCATGCTATTTTCATCGGAGTTTGGGGTATGTTGTACTATACCCAGTCAAGAACCCCCTAAGAAACAATGCTGGTAACCAGCCAAGCTCCTCTATTGCCAAACCCGCTCCTGCTGCGAGTCTCAGAACAATGTTCGTGGTGCTCTACCGAAACACGCTTATCCGAGAAATCCCGGCTGTGAAACCTAGTAACTGCTGGTGCTCCTGGGCTCAGTGACCGCATTACCTAGGCTGTCTGATCCGTGATGAAGAGCATGGCCGCATTCACGTTCTAGCTACTCCCTGTGTTTGTGCTGTGTGCATACACCTCGCGCCGGCCAGAATGATTCGCAATATCCCTTTCTAGTACCGAGCTATACTACTGCAATAGTGGACCTTCTGATTCCTTTTCCTGGCAAGCCCCTGCACTCGATCAAGGCGCCTCCACAGCAAGGCACAGCCGGAGGGGAAGGTACGAGATATTGAGCTCCTTGCGCAACTGCAAAGAACTGCCGAAACATACCCGAACTTAATCCGCGACATTTTGCATTGCCTGCACTGTCACAGGAATTCGGATGTCCATAAAAGTGTGGAATTCCGTGTCACGTTATGCTTTTCATTTCGGAAACTCGCCTCTCGGTCTCGGGGATTGTGAGGACTTCCCAATCTCAACATCTCAATCCGGACCTTAAAACTAAAACCGCAAACCTTGAGCCCTCAACCTCAGAGAGCCTTGAAGAACTACTGGTAACGTTCCATACAGCTCTGTCTTCTTCTTCGTCCGCTTCTTCTTTCCCACAAGCTGACCGCAAAACCAAACTCAATTACACCCTGAACTCCAAGCCCTACACCCTGAACTCTTAATTGCTAAGGCTCCTGTCTTAGTTGCGTGTTTACAAAACTGCCCCTCCTCACCCTCGCAGATGTCACTCATGGCAGTGATGGTGTTCCTAGCAGGTTCTTTGCTTTGTTTGGGGTTCACGGCTCAGGCATTAGGGTTAAGGCTTTCGTTTAGGGTTCACGGTTTCGGGTTTAGTTTAGGGCTTAGGCTTTGGGTCGAATTGAGGGGGTTCTTCGTGTCTCTGGGCTTTTTGCTTGGCTTGGGTTCCAGTGGAACACACGGCAATGCCCCTTCAGAAGGACCGAAGACAGAAGTGGAACCATCAAATGGACATCCAGAATCCTGAACACCGAAGCCCTTTGCAATCAATGCATCCTTCTCGATGTCTTTCTTGCGGCTGGTATAATCGTAGACTGAGGAGTACATGTGGTTAAAACATGTTAGGCTCAACTTTCTGTGTTGGCAGCACGCCACATCCCGCCGAGGCACACCACGTTCCCACGCGAATTGTCCCAGGTGAGGTTAAACTCCTCAAGTGGGACTTTTGGAGAAACTGGAGTTCCCTTTTGCCGGGGTCCTTATGTTGGGAGCCCTATTGTGGTCCTACCGCTCAGGGACTTCGTTGCCATTCCCTATTGCTTCGGTCTCCGCAGTTTTTGCAGAGAGTTGAAGACGTCAACAGCACGGAGTTGCAGTTCAACGGAACGTGTCGGGTTTAATTAGGGGCTGTATTTGTTGTCGAACTAATGCTGCTGGTTCAGTCAACTAGTTCTCCAGAAACAGGGTCCCCTTGTTGTTGCATCCGCAGAGTATGGACGAGAAACAGGACCCGAGATTTAGCGAAGCCTAAACCCTAAACCCTGACCCTCCGATAAAATCGCATCCTGCACAGGACACCCTAAACCCGACCTGCCCTAAGCCCTGGACCGTAAGTCCTAAACACTCTTATTTTTGACTTCTATGACTCTCCACCCGCGTTGGAAGACTATCGGGATTTTGCAGGTTTTTAGATGCTTTGCGGTCGGCCCGATTCTGACTAACACTGCTATTTCCTTGTAAAATCTGTATTGTAATTTCCGTGATATGGCGGTAGACTAGTACTTAGTGATGCTTTTCCGCAAGAACCATTCGCACAAGTACAGTATAGACAGGCCCACGTGCCTTTGTTTCTTCTCTCTCTCTCTCTCTCTCTCTCTCTTGTCGGCCCCTGCAGAGTTTTCGCGTCTTTCTTCTGCCCTCCGAACCCTCACAAACCCAAAACCCTCAACTGGCCCTGAACCCCTACACCACCTAGGATACCCAGTAACCTAAGAATAAAAAGGCCTCTCTTTTTGGTATTGGGTAACTTTATCAGGAACCTAGGACTACAAAAAGGAAATAAGGGTACTACTGGGCATCCTAGTAGCCCCCAAGGCCATCCCAGCCAAGACTAGCCGACTTCGGTGCAGAAAAGGCTCCACGTTCGGCTGACAAGAATGGTTCAAACGACCTCAGCGATACTCAGAGAGACTTTCGTGGCTCCAAAACGCCGTGCTCAAGGAATCGACGTTGAACCATATTGCGGAAGTCTCTATAGCTGAGGTACATATTCTCGGAATACGGAATCTATCTTAAATCATATTAAGGAGGTCTTTATAAGTTGAGGTCTGTTTCTTGATTATATAAGGGGCTTTCGAGTCTCAAGGCAATGAACCTCTAAACCACGAAACCCCTAGCCTTAAATCAACCAAACCCTAAACCTTAAACCCCAAACCCAACGCCACGAAACCCTAAACCTTAACCCCTAATCCCTAAATGCTAAGGATGAGAGGGAGCGGATGAACCTAACGCCCCTCCCCGCACCCCCCGCCGTCAATGCGTATTCAATGTTTTTTACAGGGTTTTACGTGGTTTCCAAGGGCTTGGGTAGTATGGGGCTTGACATGGTTTTAGCAGGGTCTATATTATGGCTATATGGTGTAGGCTCAACCTGAACCCTAAGCTCCTATCAGTCTAAGGTTGAAGCCATGGGCCTTAATGGGATCCTTATATACCTACTATATACCCTATATGCCTACTCTACCACTAGGAAAATTATGGTAACTTTAACTACTATTACTACTACTATTACTACTACTATTACTAATACTGTTACTATTACTGTTACTATTACTATATACCCTATAAGGGCTTGAGTCACCCACTGAGGAATCTCGGTAGCCCCAGTACCGCATGCCATGGCCGCGAAGCGGAAGGCGGTACGTCATGAGCCTGCTAGATGATGAACCGGAAAGCTGGCAACTACCGCGCCCCGCCCGACGTGATGGAGTCATAGGTGCGAAGGGCACGCAGCGCAAGGGGGCCAGGTTGAATACTGGTTCGGAGGACCCACTCATGGTTGATGAGTCCGCGGCTGACTTGAACAAGACTTTTCCAGCCGCGCATCGTCAAGCGGAACGGTGGCTCCTCATGCAAGGGCATGTGGATCCTCAACCTGAAACTTGGCAACCGCGCGATGGTGCGCATGGGGGCGAAGGACACTTTGCTCAAGAGGGCCACGCTAAACATTGGTTTGGAGGACACTCTCGCAACTACACGGTAGAGGAGTTTGAGGCTGGCTTCATGGAGACGCTTGGCTTGCAGCAATGCGTCACCATGCAGAACAGAGGCTCGCCAGGCGAGGGCATCTGTATCATCAAACTTGAAGCCGGCAACCGCTGCACCTCACTTGAAATGTTGGCGCTCATGGACACGAAGGCGAAGGACACACTGTCCAGGGTGACCATTAGTTTGGAGGGCACGCTCGCATATTACAAGTTAAACGAGTTTGCTGCTGGCCTTAGGTGGAAAGCTGCCAACTACAGCCTTCACCCGTCATGATTCGTCTACGGGCTTGGAGGCGTGCGGCTGGCTTCCATTGGAAAGCTGGCAATTGCTGCAAGTCTTACCGAGGGGTTATGCACTGACGACTGGTCTTCGATCTGTGGCGGTGCCTCCGATTTCCTGACTTAGCACTTCTGGGAATGTGAGTGATGCAAGTGTCACTAAGTAGCACTGCCGTTGTTTTATCGCAGTTGCTCCGATGTCACGATATCACCTCAATGAGGGTGTTTTGACATCCTGGGTATATGGTTACTTTGCGGGGATAGCCTCATCGGATACCCGTGAGGAAGATCCCGCTTCTTAGGTCCGAAATCAGGTCCGAAATCATTATCGTTACTTGGATTGCCAAGTATGGAATACCACACATCCTTTACAACTCGCATGCGGTGTCCAGAGTCTTGAAGTTCATGTTGTTGAAGGGTTGGGACAGCTTTTCCGATTGCTGGTTACATCCCACCCCTCTTGGTGAGCGCATACTACGTCTGTAGATTTCTGCGCCACCTGTTCTTTGAATTCAGTACAGTGCCTTAGGCGCGTCCTCAGGACACCAAGCCACCAGAAAGAAAGAAAGAAAGAAATATATACCCTATAGGTACCCTTTAGGGTCCCTTAAAAGGGCCAGGGGCCCATAGTAGGGGCCCACACTTCTAAGCTTCGAGTCAAGGAGCTGATCCTGTCGAAGAGGGCTTCCCCTCTGTCGTAGCCAAAGTCTCCCTCTTTGGCATCGAGGTTAAACCTGCCATCCAGACATGGGTTTACTTCTAGACCTCAGAGTAACCTAGGAATAAAAAGGGTGCCCTTTTTGGTTTAAAGGGGTTTATAAGGGAACCTAAGCCTCAAAAAAGGGAATAAGGGCCTACTCTGGGTCCTAGTCTTGCATTTTTTAATACCTAAACCTCGAAAGCCCAAACCCGAATATAGGGACTTTGATAATTCGAACAGGGTTTTGGCGGCCAGAACACGATAATTATAACAAGGAGCCCCCAAAATGGTGTAGGTACAGAATTATTAAGGCACCTATATGGACCTGATCCTTGGAACAAGTTTACTGTTCGACATGCCACCTCCTTTTCCGCGAACGCCGCGTCCTAGATACATGGGTGGTTGTCAAAATTAGGGTCCCTTTTTGGGTCCTTAATATATACGGCACCTATAATTTAGGGTACCCCAAAAAGGGACCCGAATTTTGACAACCACCCACATCGGAACTCCCGAGCCTGAAGCCGTTGAGCTGGATCGCCATGCGCAGCTTGGCATACCTGCGTGGTCGTCAAAATTAAGGTCCCTTCTTGGGTACCCTAAATACCAGGTGCCGTATTATATTAAGGACCAAAAAAGCAAACCTACTAGCACTACCAAGCCTGACTTTGGGAGTTGTCACAACAATTGACGGGAAAACGCGCTCCCGCCGTCAGCAGTCCGTAACGAATTGTTCGAGACGTTCCTGCTGTGAGCGCGCGAATAAGGCTTCGGATTCCTCACGCTTGAAAACAGAGTTCTTAATAGTTTGAACAGGGTCTCGAGGCATACTCTAATATAACTATTTGCTTCTATTACAAGGAAAACCAGTGCGATCTGTTCAGGTTCCTACATTGCGACCCTAAACCCAAAATCTTCATTGGAACTCGGATATAAATACCCCGAAAAAAGATGCCTTAAACCTCATAGAACCTGTATGGATCCCTTAAAGGAGCCTCTTTGTCCCTGAGATCCGGGCTCACGCGGTGGGAACGAGGCCGCTGACTGCAGAAAGCCGGGATTTAGGGCGCTTCAGGGTGTAAAGGGAACTCCAGAAAGTTGGAATATGGATTAATGGTAGGATCCCCTATACTTCTACTGTATGGAAAGAATTAAAGATGCAGTGGCCTCTCACACGAATGAACGTCCTACTTCTCTAGAAGTGGGTGTAGGGTTTAGGACGGATCGAGGGAAGGTTCATGGCTCAGGGTCTATGGTGTAGGTAGGGGGTTTGAGCTGGTTGAGAGCCTCAAGCAGCAAACGATGGGAGCTGTGGAAGATAATTCGTGTTTCAGTTAATGTCAGGGTTTCTGGAAGCTTCTTAAGAGCTGCATGAAGGTTTTCGCAAGGTGCGCAAGGGTTCTCATGAGGGTTTCCGTAAGGTTCTGCAAGGGATCAGGGTTAGCTTCACCGAAATGGCTTTAGAATTTAGAATGCTGCAGAGGTATCTCGATAAGCTTCCTTAAGGGGTTGCTGTGGTTTCGGACATCACAAACGACCGTTGCTTGAAACTCTTAAGAGTCGCCTCCTGAATTTAAGGACACCGACATGAGGGACATAAGGTCTCCAGAAATTGAAGAAGCGTACGCATATGCAGATGTGCTCGTGACCGAGAAGTTGTCCTTGAACTGCTTCCTGTTTTTTATGGAGATTGGCTTTGCTCGTTTACACCCTGCAAATAGACGCACCGCGACTCGACGAACACTTCAAACAGAGCTCCCCGAAGCACTAAACCCTAAGCCACAAAAACAATGCCCTAAATCCTGAACCTACACAGCCAATGAAGACATAATCGAATCAAATCAAGGCTTTTTTAACCCCCCTAGAGCCCCTGCGCACGTCAGGTTGTCCGTTTGCGACGTTTTCCCAGGCCTGCGGCACCAGGCCCTGCGACACCGCAAACCGCAGCACCCCAGCCTCACCCATGACTCCAGGACTAGCCATCAGAGGGATGGGTATCTCATCAGTCCTTCAAGCCTTCATATTCGGGACAATCCTGACTAGGATACCCAGTAACCTAAGAATAAAAAGGCCTCTCTTTTTGGTATTGGGTAACTTTATAAGGAACCTAGGACTACAAAAAGGGAATGAGGGTACTACTGGGCATCCTAGTTGACCTTCCGGGCTTTTTGGAGGCTGCGTCGGCTTTGGAGATGGCTTGGGAGAGTCCTCATGGCCCCGGCATGTACGCCCTCACGGAAGGCAGCAGAGTTCGCTTTGGGGTTCAAGAGATAGAAGTTTCCGAAAATAGGGGACCCTAATATAGTACCCTAAGTAGTAGGATCCTCAGTATAAGGACCCCAAAACAAGGTACCCCTAATTCTCGGAAACTCCCAGATAGGAGACAGACATTTGTGCAGGGTTTCGCCTAAGGCCTAAGGCTTTCAGGTCGCCTGAGATTTCGGGGCGGCAAGCTCTCAAATGCATCCCGCTCAGATGTGCAGCCTAGTCTAGGATACCCAGTAACCTAAGAATAAAAAGGCCTCTCTTTTTGGTATTGGGTAACTTTATAAGGAACCTAGGACTACAAAAAGGGAATAAGGGTACTACTGGGCATCCTAGTAGTTGTCGGGTAGCATGGGGAACTAAAGGTTAACCTCCCAGACTGCACTCTTCCACGGGAACTGATCTTCATAAACCCCGTAAGACCCCACCCTACAGCCTCAACCCTAAACCCTAAACCCTAAACCCCTAAATCCCTAAGCCCCTAAATCCCTAAACCCCTCAACCCCTAAACCCTAAACCCTAAACCCCTAAACCCTAAACCCCGCCGGAAGGCCTCTGCTTTGGCTTTCCTGGGCGAAGGCGGCGCACCCTCGCCAGAGCATTTCGAGGCCAATAGCGCCTTGAGAAGCTCTCGTGGGTATGCCGGTTTAGGGTTTAGGGTTTAGGGATATACCTTAAATTACAAGGGGATTCGTATTATGATGTAAGCTATCTTCCTAATCAAGGGGTATTGGGCTCTCTTGGTGGCTTGGGGATAGGGCTTTCAGAATAGGGTGTCGTTTGGCCGGGCTTCATCTGGTCCTTACAGGAACCCTACTTGGAGTTTCATGGGTAGAGATAAGTGGGGTTATAAGTTCCTCAATACGGGTTAGAACTATAGTTATCCTACTTATAACCCTACATATAACTAACCATGAACCTCCAAGTAAACCGAAAACACAAGCCCTAAGCCGTTCATAGGCTCCTTGAATTAAGAAAGATATTGGGGTCCAGGTGTGAAGAGTGATTGCACAGTTGAGTCTCTAGGTTTCGTCGAGTTCGTCTTGCAGCAATCGTACATAACTTTTTTTTTGCAACGGAGAGGCGGATTTGAGAGCTTTGCAAGAATTGGGTGGGGTGCCACAATGGTTCTTGTGGTTCCACAACTGGGTTCTTAGATCGCGTTCGTAAGCCGGGCGCCGCTATCAGCCACCCCAACGAAAGCGCCCTGAAATCGGAAAGCCACAAGACTCACGCAGAGCCCTAAATCCGATCCCCTGAAAGTCCCAATATTATAACTATAATCATATCCTAAACCTCGTCTGATCGAAACTTTTGAGCGTCTACCTCCACTCCAAACTCCCTGATCTAAAATCATAGCCTAATCGTATAATGTATGTAAAAGAATTTGCACAAAGAAGCAGCCCTGTCTTTCCAACAACGAAGCCCCAGACGCCGCCATATCCATACGTCCCGAACTCTTAGACCCCTCAACATGGGAGTTTCCGAAAATGGGGGACCCTAATACAGTACCCTAAACAGTAGGATCCTTCTTCTAAGGACCCCAAATAAGGTACCCCTAATTTTCGGAAACTCCCACATACTGAAGAGCCCAAAGGAGCTGCCTGGCAGCGCTTGGGCCCAAGGTCTCGCAGGGCCACCAGAGCCCCGAGGTGTCCTGCGGAGAGACACGGATCTTCTGGAGTGTCTAAAGGCTGTAAGTTTAAGGGTGTAGGGTTTAGGGTTCTAGGCTTCGGGTTTATTGGTTTAGGCCTTAAGGGCTTTATGACAGGGCTCATTGGGTTCTCGTGAGGATTTACCGAATGCGAGTGGGTGTTTTTACATCGGAGGGGTTTCATAATCATACTCTAAACCCAATTGGGTACAAGATGGGATCCTCAAGCTTCGTATGCATTCGCTTGGGCAGTCGCAGCAATTTTAGATACTTTTGCTTCTTAGCGTTCCTTTCGCACCCTGCAGTAATGAATTTCGATGCCGACCACAATGAGACCAGGATTTTGGCGTGTTGAGCAAGCCTAACGAATTGCACTGCCAAGTATTCACGCGCCTAGAAAGGCCTCATATAGAGCGACAAAGCCAACACCCTAAGCCCCAAAACCCGTAAGCCCCTGAAGCCTTAAACCCCGAAACCCCGCCCTACACCCCCAACCCCTCACCCCCAACGCCCCAAACCCTTAAAAACCCCGACGACCTCGGACCCTGGAAGGCTTGTCCATTCTGGGCTTTTAAGTAACCAGGGAGAAAAAGTATATACTGTTATTTCATTAGGGTTCCTTTAAGAAAAAGTATTAAAGTATGGTACACCAAAGCCCAGCATTTCAAAGCACATGATGAAGGACTCTACTTCTTCATGTATGCGACAATGTTTACTCTAAGGCATTTCTAGGGTTTGTCAGAATTCGTTGATTATTATGTGCTCCTTGAGCTGCGTGTAGGATCCGAATAACAAGATTACTCCACAATTCTCTGGTCTTATGAGGCATCTCACGGATATGCAGAAACTTCTTCACAAACTGGACGTGATTTTAAAAATCTGGGTGGAGGTCAGCGTATTCAGAGTAGAATTATGAAGGGTTCCTCAAAGGGGCCATGGTTTTGACAGTCATCCGAAAGCTACAGAAAGCAACCGGATCTTCTAATGAAGCCGTCACACACATTTTGCAAGATCAATTCGCACACCGAATATGGGGGCCTGAATGGTGAACAGGGCTTCGCGCTTTGACATCGTAGAAACATACCAAGCAAGCCTACTGAAGAGCATGTAACTAACATTCGCAATTACTCAGGGCTTTAGGCCGTTAGGGTTCAAGGTTTAGGTTTTAGGGTGCGCCGTAAAATAGTAGACCCGCCCTCCCTCGGGCCGCTAGGCTCAAAGTCGGGCAAGCGCCGCCGTGCGACTTCGTCGTGCCTGAATGGCGCCCTAAACCCTGGGCAAAATCCCACAGCCTCACTCCCTAAGACCGCAAACCTCAATCGCTGAGCCCCTATAACACCTAAACCCCTAGAACCTCAACCCTAAACTCTAAAACCCTAAACCCTAAACCCCTAAACCCTAAGCCCCTAAACCCCTAAACCCTCAGCCCTAAGCCCCTAAACCCTAAACCCAAAGGGGAGAAGGAGGGACCCTTAATGGGGACCCCTACCCTATAATGGCTATATAATGGGTATATAGTTGATAATAGCTATATTAAGGGTCCTCTTTGAGCAATCCTAACACCAATGAAAGCGGAGTCTTATAAAGCCCTGTGGAACGCTGAGTATCTTCCTCAACTTAACTTTAAACCCTGTATCGCGAGCCCTGCAATACCAAGAGTCTCCGGCCAACCAAAGAGAAGCCCGTATAGTTTATAGAGGCCTCCGTGAAAACGCAAGGAACTACAAGCATCAATATGCTCCTAAACCCTAAACCCCTGAACCCTGAACCCTAAGCCTTTTCCTTTCAAAGCCGAGCCCGAGGTGCAGCGCTCGCAGCAGCTGGGCATTCGCCCGCCGGGGCGCGCAAACGGCACTGAAAAAAACCGCCTCTTCGGCGAGCCTAGGGTGGTAGGATGCTTAGGGTTTCTAGGATACCCAGTAACCTAAGAATAAAAAGGCCTCTCTTTTTGGTATTGGGTAACTTTATAAGGAACCTAGGACTACAAAAAGGGAATAAGGGTACTACTGGGCATCCTAGGTTCAGAGCTTTAGGGCTTTACAGTAGAAGCCCAAAAGTTGGAGACCCAATAGCCTCAATCCTTAAGAGTAATGTTATAGGGAATCCCAGCACTATTTGGCCTTAACCCGGTTTCCATCCTTTTGGGGCTTACTATAATCGCGCTACGGTTATAGCAGAAGCCAGAAAGTTGGAACATTCTTATCCTCATGTTCCTACGGTAAGGTAGAGGGAATCCCAGCACTAATCATCCTAAATCCATGTTCCAACTTTCTCGTTCACTATACGGGGCTGAAAGCTTGGGGTTTAAAGGCTTAGGCGTCATGGTCCAAAACTCCAAAGCTATCGTCTGAAGTGGAGCGACATCCCTGGAGGTCGTCTAGTTGCTGCTCACCTTCTAGGTCGTCACTCTTCACTCCTGAACCTTAACCCACTTCCACAGCCTCTTCCAACAACACACTATAAACATCAAATGTGAAATTACAGCAAAGGAAATCTGGAGGAAACAACCGCCTTCAAACAGTGCTCCGGCCTAAACTTCCCTAACCCTAAACCCTAAACTCTAAACGCAAAGTTTGAAGATTCTTTTTACCTCAATTGTCTGTGGGCTGTAAAGCTTAAACAACTTGTAGCCTCAATTATGTGTGGGGCGTATGAGGTGTGTGGGGCCTAGGGCTTAGGATCATGGAGATGAAAGCTCCCGCGACAGCAATCCCACTTGCCACATGATTCTAGATTGCCGGCATCGGCTACTTCCCCCACCGCCTTTCGACAACCCGACACTCCTAAACCCTAAACCTGAAACCTAAACCCTACAAGTCCTAAGCAAACCCTAAACCTGAACCCTATAAATCTTGAACGACGTCCCGCCACACCTCCCTGTCGCCTTTTGTTCAGCAGAAAAACCCTTAAGCTGCCTCCTTCAAAGCCGGGGTACAACCCAACCCTAACCCTAAATATCCCTAAACCTTAAAGCAAAATCCCAAATGGGTGGTTGTTAAATTTGTGGTCCCTTTTTGGGTACCCTATATATTAGGTGCCGTACTATAATAGGGACCCAAAAAGAGACAATAATTTTGACAACTACCCAAACACTAAACCCTAAAGCCTAACAACCCAAAGAGCCCAATGAGCCTGGATGAAGGCATCCCTCAGGCTCCCTCTTCAGATTTCCTTATATGAACCCCTAAAGAGGGTAGGTTTAGGGTTTAGGGGTCCAGGTATACCTTAAACTTGGGTGACTATACGAGTTGAGCTATATTCCTGGATTGAAGGGTATCGGGCTCTCTGGGAACAAGAACACCCGCAAATCCACTTATCTTATGCAGGTTCAACCCGCGTCTAAACTTTGCCCACTAAGGACTCCAACCCTTCGCCCGCGCTCCTTCAAAGTCAAAGTTTCAATTTCCAAGACACTTGAGATCAGGGCTTCGTAATGGTTTGTACGGACTCTAAAGTTAAGAAGGGAAAAGGGGAGGTACAGGTCTCAGGTTTGCGGCCTTTACGGCTGCATATAGGATTTTACAAGGTCTACTGGAAGGTTCATGAATAGCTAAGTATCTTGATTGTGGTTACAGGTAGCTACAAGTCTTTCTGTAGTTCTGATTTCTGATCTACTTGCTAAGACCCAGGTCCTTCACATGGCAATAAGATCTGCTTGGAGACTCATGCCTCCCCACAGGCTCCATAGTAGTTCCGTTTTGGGATTCTCTTATAGGATTCTAAAATATGAACCCCAAAAAGGAACTACTATGGAGCCTTAGGGCATACCCCATTAGATGCGACTTCCAGGTGTTTCTTGCTAGAGGCTTTGTGCTGGCCCGCCCAGGCTCACTCATCAACAGAGCCGCCGCAAAAAAAAGAACATTCTCAAACTCAGGTATACTCTTTGGGTGTCCTTCTACTCTACTAAGATCAGGATCCTGCATGATCCTGCTATTTCGGGCTTATATGGTAATGTAGAATTCCCTGAAACTCCTAGTGTCTCCTAGTTCTTGACAACAAACGACAAACAGCTCTGGCACCGGGCCCCTGGCACGATATCGCCGCGACGAAATGCCCTCGCGGCAAAGGCGGCAACGCCGCATCCTGCAGAATCGGATCTAGGGTCCCTAGGGTTGGGTACAGAACTTGCAGGGTTACTACAATTATATACTACAAAGCTACCTTTAAACTGTACGACAAAACTGCGCCATAGCAAACCTGACAAGCCGGGTTTACAATCTTAAACGCCGTAGATGGCCTGAACAAGTTCCTAAACCCTCAGTCCCAAACCCTAAACCTCTTGCAATTTCTGATCTCTTTAAGGTGCTGCGGATGTCGCGAGTCGAGGTCCTGGCACCGCGCGAGCCAGGACGCCGGGGGCCAAAATCTGCACTGCAGCTTTAGGGTGTAGGGTTTAGGGGTTTAGGGTTTAGGAACTTGTTCAAGTGTGTCTTACAAGTTTTATGAAGATTGTAACCATTTTTGGGTGGTTTTGCAAGGCTTCACAGGCCTGTACGGTTGTATGATGGGGTCCCTAAACCCTTTTTGCGGTGGTCGTGCCTGATTCTATACTTCTACCTAACAACCCCTGCTTACAACTACCCCTGTTCAGGTAGGGCTTTACGAAGGGCTTCGGGTTTAGGGCTTCGAGCTGTTGCTCGAGTTGCCTTTTCTACACCCTGGAATGAAGAATTAAGGTTTAAGGTTTAGGGGTTATGGGTTTAGGAGGGTTTAGGTTTGGGGTTTAGGCTTTAAGGCATAGGCCGCGACTCAAAACGCGCGCAGTCCCTACCACTGCATTCGGAAAATTGTCGTTAGAGCGTTTCGGACGCATCCGTCTTCGTTTGGCCTTGTTTTTGCCAACACTTTCGCGGCGCTTCAACAAAGTTCGTTTGGCCTTGTTTTGGCCAACACTTTCGCGGCGCTTCAACAAAGTTTGCCAAGGCATAGGCCGCGACTCAAAACCCGCGCATTCCCTACTTCTGCATTCGGAAAATTGTTTTTAAAGCGTTTCGGACGCATCAGTCTTCGTTTGGCCTTGTTTTTGCCAACACTTTCGCGTCGTTACAACAAAGTTTGCCAAGGCATAGGCCGCGACTCAAAACCCGCGCATTCCCTACCTTTAGGGCTTCTAGGGTTCAGGAGTTTAAGGGTTCGGGGCTTTCACAACCTGCTACTTCGCAAGCTCTGGGCCCGGCGGGTATGCACTATACCCTGATGCTCCCACACACCGGACACAAAGAATCACATATCCTCATGCTCACCAAACCTCGACACGTTTAAACTTTAAACCTCTAAGCCCCAACTCCAAAACCCCGACACACCGATGCGCTGCTTCTGCTTGCGGCGCTTGTGAACTCCTTCGGAGCCTTTGGCCTCTTGGGATGGGCTTTGCAAGATCTCCGTTTGGATGCGGCATGACTGTACTTGTCCAGTACCGCAGGGGGAACCGAAGGTTAAGCTCCAGAACTATATCACATGGGGCTTATCATATCCCGAAGAGGTTAAAGGTTGCCAACCCTTTCTACTGGGCAAAGCTTCTGCCCGAAGACCCTTCGACGCCTCGAAGGTGCTGCCGGAACCGTCGGCCATGCGGAGGCAACCATCAGAAGCTTTCCGGTTCAGGGTCTAGGGCTTCAGGGGTTTGTGGTTTAGGGGTTCAGGGTTGCCGGGAGTTAGGGTTGTAGGGTATAGGGTTTCGGATGTAGGGCTTTACGGTCTTTCAGGGTTTTTAGGGTTAGGGCTTCGGATTTATGGCTTTAGAGTCTTTACCGGGCTTTTAGGGCTTTCGGGCTCCAGGGTTTGAGGCTTAAAACAAGCTTTGAAACAAATCTGCACGGCTTCGAGGGATGAACTTAACAGTGTTAGCCTGAGGGATCTGAGGCTAACAGAGACAAGCATTGGAAAGCACCACGAGACAGGATAATGTTGAGGTCGGAAGCATTAGCAATATTTTCTGATGTTCCTTTACATAAGGATACTCAAATATACCACCGAAACACTATTCTCATGAGTCAGGAAGAGACCGGAGGAGATCACAGTCAGCACATCGCCTTGAACCCGAAGGGGGGATGAGAATCACAGGCATTGCGTCGGCGGGGTTGTTGTCAACTTAGAGCCGTTGGGATCGTTTCTGGGCGTCCAGGAAACAAGGTTGAGCACTGAACACTCTCAAAACCGGGCTTGCCAGATGAGGTTTGCCGTCGGCAGTCGACTGAGAATGCACCGCTCGCCAGGCTTTGTTGACGCGTCTTGCATGACACAAGACACCAGCCTTCAACATAACCCCCCCACGTGCCAACAACCCCACACAAGGGGATATTTTCGACAAAGTGTGCTATGACTGTAGTGCCTTAAGGCGTCGAGAACCCCTGAGCATTCTATACACAGCCAGAAAGGGCTTGTCGCCGAAGCCTGTACATTGTGACGGTCTAGGCTCCTCAGCCAACTCTGTACATCAGTCTAAAGTCTCAAGCAATCAACAGGGAATCTGCACTGTTGGCAGGGGGTGACTTGACTAGGCACCCGCAATCAGCGATTGCCGCGCCATTGCAGTCTCCAGGATCACATCCGCAGCTCGCACGACTCCCCCTGCCGACTGCATGCGCTTGCTGAGGCCTTGCGCTGCCTGTCGGAAGGGGTTGCCAGGTGCGGCGTCCACCAGTTGTCGGATAGAAGAGCGAAGGGCCGTGCTGCTGAGGGTCTCCAAGGGCCTTCCAAACGCGACGCCGGCTCCGGCCTGAGCGACGGACTGGCTGTTGGGGACCTGGTCTCCGAAGAGCGGCACGCCCACCAATGGGACGCCAAATCGAAGTGCCTCGTGCATGCTGTTGGCACCGCAGTGCGAGAGGAAAGCGTGGCACTTGGGGAGAAGCTCGATCTGCGGCACGGTCTCACGAACAATGAAGTTGGAAGGCGGAGTGGGGAGGCCCTCCAGCACGTCTGGCTGACAGCCCACCACCAGAACAACCAACACGTCTTCCTCGTCTCTCAGCGCCTCGAAGGCTGTGCGGAAGACGTGCTGGATGATCTCCTTACCGGTGCAATTCTCCAGACCGTTGTTGAGCCCCTGTGCTCCGAACTGTTCATCCCAAAAGTGGGAGTTCGCAACAGTGCCAAGCGAGATCAGCACAAGCCGCTTCGACGCAGCGAGAGCACCGTCGATGACATCCCAGGGCAAGCCGCTAGACGGCTTCGCCTCCGCATCGGCCCAGGGATGGCATACGCGCTTCACCTTGGTGTCCAAGAGGGGGCCGACGCACGTAAAGGGAAAATTTCCAAATCGATCACGCTGCACTCCCGCTGCGGGCGGCACGAAGAGCCCGTCGATCGTGGTGACGATGCTCCGTTGTGGGGAGTAGAACTCCATCAGCCCACCGAAGTGAAAGACGTCCACACCGTACATCTCCAGGATCTCGCGCCGAGCGCGGCGAACTATCTCGTTGGACTCCCACTCTGCAGTCACCTTGGCCGGTCGAGCGATGACACCCGGGCCGGGCATAGTCAGGGTGCTCACAGCAGGAATACCCAGGACCTGCGCTGCCACCAGGGCTTGTGGCAGGAAGGGGTCATGCACGATAGCCGTGACTGGCGGGCTGAAGCTTTTCAGCTCGGGGATCAGCTTCGGGAGCTGTGAAGCCGCCACGGGCATGGACATCATGGGGAACTCATACTCCTCCAGCGACATCCCCTCCTTGAGCTCCTCCAAGAGTTGCCAGGTAGCTCCGGCGGCCTCGACCACCTCACGCATCTGTGGGGGGACGAAGTAGGTCACGGCCACGCCTCGCGAGCGCAGCTCAGCCACCACCGGCAGGGTCGGGTTCATGTGTCCGGCAGCTGGAAGGTTGAAGAACACGATGTGCTGCTGCTCCATGACCGATGATCTTGTCCTTCCACGAAGCGGTGGGAAGATAGCTGGAGAGCTGAAATGGCTTGAGCCATGACGCAGGGAATGTAAAATTATGTAGATCCGCCCATGGCAACACCCGTGACGAATCAGGACTCTCAGCGAACGGAATTCCTGCATTTCTGTGACTTTGCTTGCCCTTTTCTCTGGTTTTCTTTCTACGTTCCCCACACTGGCGTCACATACCAACTCACTAGGGCAAGTTCCTGAACAAGCAAGAGCCCCTGTGTAATTTAGGGCACTTTTCTCCTACATCTTCCAAGAAAGAGTTGCCAACATCAGGATTGCACACACCCGTAAAGGTCATGGGGTGCTACAGGAGGTTAGAACCGACAGGGCAACAGCGTACTACAATGAATCCTCAGCCCCAATAGATCCCTTAAAAGGAGCCCTTAGCGGACTACTGGGACGACCTAAATGAGCTTTCTGGGTTGGTCTTGGAATATCCGCCAAACCCTGAAACTTAAGAAGTGGACCGCGTTCATATGAAGGATCTCTCCATTATGTACCGGTGTATTCCCCAGAGGCTCCAAATATAGTACCATTATGGAATTAGGTCCCAAAAGACCATCCCTATTATGGCCTTGGAGACCTAATTCCATAATGGTACTATATTTGGAGCCTCTAGGTTCAGTTTCAATTGGAGTCTGTGAGTTGTTTGCTGCCAGACGCAGGCCGCTAGATTTGGGGAATAGAACCTAGACTGATTGGCACTCCTTCGTATGGCTTTAAGGGGAACTCCAGAAAGTTGGAATATGGAGTAATGGCAGGATCCCCTATAATTTACCTTCAAGGGATTATGATAATGATATTCCAAGTTTCCGGCTTCTACTGTAGGTGTATTGATTTCAGTAATGAGTGATCCTTGAAATGCATTCTTGAAAAGTCTAGACTGTTCTGGGCGATCCTTGACCAGCACCCAACCCCTTCGCTGGGTTCCTCGCATAGTGTTCGCCTTAGGACCAAGCCGCAGGGACGACAAATTTGTCTCGTCAGGGTCTCGGTTTTAGGAGTTCCGGGTTCCTTTCTCTTTTGCTGCGGAGCATGCTTCGCGACCTCTAAGCCTTCTGCTGCTTGTGTACGTGTGCCTGCACTTGCAGTCTTATGTTATCCCATGCAAGACAAGACGACACCGAACCCCATAACGAGTTACGATATCATATCACATCTTTTCTTATTATTTCTTACCAACCATTTCTTGTCAAACCCCGCCAATTCCATTTCATACCCTGTCGTTTGGCAACATGGTAAGGGGTTGAAAGGCATACTACAGTGCATGTAGCACATATATATATATATACAACAAATGTATACATATACACACACACACACACACATACATACATACATACATACATCCATGCATGCATGCATGCATACATACATATATATATATATATCTATCTATCTATTCGGGTTTAGGGGTCTTGCCTACCGGTGCCGGGCCTTTAGGGGTTTGGAGTTCAGGATTTAGGGTCTCGAGGCCTGCGCAACATGGCTGAAGTAGACTATAAACTCAAAAGACACCCCCGCCCCCCCCCACGCTAAAGCTCTGGTGCCTAAACCCCACAACCCCAGATGAAGATCTTCGGGCCTCAGACTGGCTGGGTTCTACGCTGTCTGGGTCTGTGCACACACACACACACACACACTGAATGCTAAGGAAGGTTTCGGTATGCGACGGACCACCTGATGTCCAGGTCTCAAGCGACCACACATCAGAGACTTCGGACTGGTAGCTTCATGGACAGCAACTGCAAAGAGGAAGTGCAGAAAGTCTGTGGCTGACACCTCAACCTGCCTAACTAAACCACAACGCCAGCCTGAACCCCCAACGCACCGAAGGACACGGCAAGGACTGAGGAGGTGGACACTGGCACTGAGCAATGCATGCATGTGTACTCGCTAAACGGGGTTCTCGGCTTAGCCCCAGGCCATCCAGAAACCAGCGCATACCAGACGACATGAACTCAAGCACTGACTGTTTCTGAAGTGATACCATAGCTGCAGGAGAACGACTGGTTGGGGTTCTCGGCTTAGCCCCGGGCCATACTCGTTAACAGCAGCAATACGCAATACGAAGAATAACCAATACACAGCGTAAGTCCATGTACTGCGTCACAAGCAAAGTGCAGGTACGTGGTCAAGGCGTCCCCCGACCATATCCTGGTGTGTGACTGGAGCTTCGTTGCACCAGGCCAAGCCACACACCCCTGGTGCCCCTGCTGTGTACTCTGTACTCAAGTTCGGTTATATGTAAATCGCAAGTAGTAAACGGCTGCAGAGCGTGAGGAGAAGGCCCTTGGATACAGGGTTGTCACACACACACACCCCGCCGTAGCGGGGTGAGTTAATCAGACGAAGACGGTGAGCGTGTAGAGCAGGTAGAGCCGTCGGGTGAACTTGGAGGATCTGGCAGCGGTGCAAGGAATGTCGGTGGAGAACTTCTCGGAGAGGAGTTGGCAATTCATGTCTTTGATACTGACGTCGATCAACGTGACGAGCGTAGACTTTAGGTGCCAGTAGACCAAGGCAAAGTTGCCAACGATGACGAAGTATCATCTGGCTCATAGTGTAATGTAGTCGACGATCAGCGAGAAGTAACGCGTGAAGTACGCGTGGAGATGGTGCGGTCATGAACATGCTGTACTGGTAACCGCAGATGTTCGGGTCATAGTAATCCAGTCGTTGGAAGGAAGGATTGAGCTGACAAAGTCCATGGAGGGTGTCGAGGTAGAAGCGGTTCTGAGAGGTCGTGAATCGGTGCTGTGATATGACAAAGCGTGGATCAAGGAGGGTACTGGGGATCTGTAGATCGGGTGAGGTCATTGGACGAACTTGCCATACTCGGAGCTCCACCAAGTAGTCAAGCCACCATTCCAACGGAATATCGAATAGCTGCGGAGCCATGAGTGCAGGGGCGAAGAAAGGAAAAGAGAGGGCGAGGACTAACCAAATAGTGCTGAAAAGGCTGCGGTAGATCAAATAGACCACGGCCAAGATGCACAAGCGAGGTTCTTTGTCTCAAAAATTTCCGTCAGTGTCCTCCGAAGCTTCACCGTCTCAGAGCTGGGAGAAGACCATGTCGTTGTTGTTCCTGTTGCCAATAAGGATTGTCCGTTGTGATGGGTGGAGGAGGCGAGTGGCGGCGAGAAGTCGTAGATGTCCATTTGGAAAAGGAAAGGCAATGCGCTGAACACCAGCATGTGGTAATCCAGGGTCCAGACGAAGTAGGTCGCCACTGTGCTAGGGTAGGATCTCGAATGCGGACACGTAGGCAAAGTCGTGATGCAGAACGTAGCTGGACGTGGGCTCGCCAACACAGTTGATTGCAGTATACGATAACCGAGGGCTGATAATGATAGATCGTGAACACCGTGTTGTCGTGGTGGAAGCCAAAGAAATTGTGGGCGCTCATCTTGTGATCTTGGAGGGCGGCGAGGAACTGCTGCCAAACGCCATATTGATGCCAAGAACAATCACCGTGATGTGCGGTCAAGATGGAGAAGGCAGAGCGGGTGGTGTGGCGGTCATCAGTGTGTGGACGTTGGCAATGACGGGGATCCAATTGTATCATAGTCTGCATCTCGAAATAGGAGAGGATCATGGGGAGGATGTCAGAGAAGGAAGCCATTCGTGGGTGAGGGAAGGAAACAACTGCGTTTGTACAGAAAAGCTGCGGTAAAAAGGCTGCGGGTGTGGTACTGACGAAACGGAGATGCCAGGGCATGTTTTCCAGAGCGGGTTCTCGTTTGAATCAGGTAATCAGAAGTTCGCGGACAGACCGTCGTCGGCGAGTGGTGCATTCCCGGTAGATGAGTGCCAAAGGAATGAGTTGGTCTTCGGGTAGTTCATAGCGACGTCGTATCCGTAAATTGTCTGTAGCTGCAGTGGGTCCTCCTCGTTCATGTGCTATGATGTCCAACATAATGCGGGCGCGATGTCTGATGCAGTTCTGCACATCCTGATAGTACGGTGAGGCAGGAGTGCACTGGCGCCATTGTCGGAGCCACTGTTGTCTACGACGTTCTGCGGCATCTCCATGAAATGAAACGGTGGAATGTGTAGTGCCCGACTTGCTGCGGCGTACTTGATGTAATGTATAACCATGTCCTCGTGGAGGTATTCGGATGCGAGGGGGAGCGTCCACTGTTGCTGAGGGACGATTGGTCGTGGTGAGTGAAGGTCCCGTCGCTGGTGGCGATGGTGCTCGTCCCCGAAGGTGTCTTCCGTGAACGTTTCTTTGGACGGGACGAGGAGGTAGGCGGGTCCATTGCCTTTGGTTCCGTAGTGGAGCACGAAGAAGAGGATGAGGACGATGAGGATGTCGACGATGAGGTTGACGTGGTTTTGGAAGGTCGAGACGATGTGGAAGAAGAGGATGTGGTATGGTGGCGATATCGGCGACGGCGTTTGCTAGGTCGTTGTCCTGGGAGAGAAGAGGGAGAAAGTGGAAGGGGGCGAAGAGGCGTGGGGTCCCCGTCAACATCTGAGCCTGTGGAAGGTAGACCAGCATCGTGTGCGGAGGAGGCTTCCAGGTCTGAGTCCATGTCCGGGTCTGGTGTCCAGGTGACGTCGTCCAAGAGATAGGAGTCGGGTGAAGAACCGGCCATGACTAGGGGCTCTGGTGGTAACTTGACCTAAAATGCCTGCGATTAAATCAACGGAATGAAGTGGCGCAGATTCAATAAACGCAAGGGAGCAAGTTTTCCGGGGGTTCACTGACCTGTCGCCAACGTAGTCCAAAGCGACGAAGTACGGATCGGGATGCGTCTTCCAGTGAACGTTCAGAGAAACCTCGATCACGATATAGATGAATAAGTTCACGAACTTGAGGTGCAATGACGGCTTTGGGCCAGGATAATCTGCAAATGAGATAAATCCGCGTGGTGAGTCCCTGAGTGTTCCTGCGTGTCGAAGAGACGGAACACGGAGAGCGCAAAGAGATGCTGTTCCGTGGGAGGACAAGTCGGATGGAACGTTGTGCGGTGTCCACGACGGTGCCCAACAGTTCTTGTCCCGGAACGTGCTCCAATTCCAAGGGAAGGCCATAGAAATGTGGATGTAGGTATACCTCTTGAAACCAGCCAGAAGATGACGTAGAGGATGAAGAGAAAGGGTCGTAACATCGGCGAGAATGGTGTCGTTGGCAGTCGTCCAGTGATTCCAGCTCCCCATCCCAAATCCGAAGGAGGCACCGATTGTCCACATAGCGTGAGGAGCAGAAATAGCGAGAAGTCAGCAACTGATCGCGGATGAGTTGGTGGAAAGTGGCCTCCCACAGGGCTGCGGTCGCTCCGCACATTGAGGGGGCCATGGGTGAGCCCATGGAGGCACCGCGATGTTGCACCAAAATTTCCGTGCCAACTGTGAAAAAGGAGTGACGTAGCAAGAACATAACCAACGACGGTAAGTCACGAAGGCATAGAGGTTTGTAATGTGAACCGGCTTTTCGATATCGGCCTCGAAATAGGCGTCCAAGTGAATTGCGGTCCCGCATCGTAATCTGTATGTCAGAATCCAAGGGAATCTGTTGGTGGCGAGCGAACATGTCTGTCAGCGACGAGATCGAGTGGTAAATGCGATCATGTGGAACCGAAGTGAAGAAACCAGAAAGATCTTGTTGAAGTAGTTGAAGTTCCACCGTGACCGGGTTGTTGCGGAAGGCATGTATGAACGTCTGGATGATGGAGTGGACGGTAGGGGAAACGAACTGAGGTGGAACGACCGTCTGTAGCATCTGTAGGACTGCTGTGGAAAGAAATTTCGCGAGCGTGGCACACCACGTGTTGGAATAGCTGACAATCGGGCGACCCTTCAAAAATTGTTTGGAGGGCTTGGGGAGCACGTAGGCGTACGGCAAAGGGTGCCAGGGCCCAGTGATAGCGTGCAGGAACATGTCGTTTGATGGCTCGTTGTATATGTTCCGACAGCTGCATCGGGTTGGTGTCTCGT